TTTTATTATTGTCTTACTGCATTTTTCTACAAAAATGTATCATATTGCCAAACATAATCTCTAAGAAAATATTTCTTTAATGAATGAATGAGGAAATTAAAAGCTTTAGTGTGTTTTACTAGTGTGCTGTGCTGTCTCTGTTTGACTCTCTTTTGCAGTAATATAGCTTTAACTAAACAATCTCCCATAAGCAGCACATAACAAAATTATTTACAAATGGAAGACTATGCTTTTCAATTTAATGCATGCTTTTCCACCATTGTTTCAGATGTACATCTTTGTTTGACTGCTTTTACAATCATAAAAGGAAATATTCGGTATGTACCACTATTTTGCCAGTGTTTCCTCATGTGCTAGGATCCAATTAGCTATTCATCTTACAGAGTGCGGAGTTCTGGAGTTCCAGGGAGACTGAACTTTGAAGGCCTGTAATACGGAACAGAATCAAGCAAATATGAGTTTTATGTCTTTGCTGTTTCTTTAGAAAAGTATTAAAACATTGCTGGAAGCTGTGATTTTATAAACTTCAAAAGCTAGGGGAAATCAAACATTCTATAGGATCATGGTAAGGCTAAGTCCCTTTATCACACTACAGTGATGACAACACAATCATGTCTCTGGGATATAGAATTATAAAAAGCTTGTGATTAACTGAGTGAGAAAATTAGCAAGTTGAACAGCAAGTTGGAGGTTCCTACCTTACCACAAAAGCAGGCAGGCCCTATGGAAATTGTATATAAGTGTAGAGCAAGTTGGCAAATCTATCAGAATGATGAGTTTTGGTCTCGAGAACTTACACAGATTTTTTCAGAATTCCAGAACCATGGAGCAGTTCGAAATTGTAAGTGCTTGTGTGTGAACAATCTGGTTGTTTTTTTTTGTTTGTTTTTTTGTTTTTTTTTGTTTTGTTTTTTTTTGTTTGTTTGTTTTTAACATGACATGATGAGAATTTAAAGCTCATGCACAGATGGCTTTAAAATGTCGATAGCTATTCTGTACTTTTCACTACCTAGAACTTTTAGAGGAACTTTGACATCTATAACTTTTGTGGAAAGCCCTGACTAGAACACAATTTAAAGAAAGCCCAATGTCTTCATTCTGTTTTGAGGCCAAGACTAGGTGTTTTATTCCAGCCTGGTCTCTTGGAAAGAAGGTTCCCAGTCATGAAAAGGCCCCTCAGAGGGAAAAGTATGGCCTGAATTCAACCGAAGCCTTTAAGAGCTGGTGCCTCAAGCTTCACCAACAGAGGGTTTGTCGGACCAGGGGTGTCAACCCTCAGGGTCTTTTACTTACTACCCTTTATTAACAAGTGCCTCTTGCACTAGGTCTTGATCCACATAGGTATTCTCCAGGTATTCATCTGCATGAGGGCAGGCAGAACTTGTTGCTTATAAAAATCAGAGGCTTTGCACAGCAAGGTAACATAGACTTTAGCATAAATTTACAAATATCGTATTTTATTTAACAGCTAAATCCCCTAGTCTATTTTCCTTATCATCCCAGTAGCACCTAACTGCCTAACCCACTGAGAAGGCTGCTTCCTAGGTCTACTTAGTAATTCTAATGTCTGATAACAGTATTTGTCCCCAGAGTGATATCAGGTTCACACTCATCCTTTTATTTTATACATTTTATATTTCTCTCTATTTTATAGATCAGAATTGTTTTTCATGGGCTGAGCATGATGCTTCACACCTATTATACCAGCACTTTGGGAGACCAAGGCGGGTGGATCACTTGAGGTCAAGAGTTTGAAACCAGTCTGGTCAACATGGTGAAACCCCATCTCTACTAAAAATATAAAAATGAGCCAGACGTCGTGGCAGGCGCCTGTAGTCCCAGCTACTTGGGAGGTTGAGGCAGGAGAATCGCTTGAACCCAGGAGGTGGAGGTTGCAGTAAGCTTGGATCATGCCACTGAACTCCAGCCTGGGTGATAGAGGGAGACTCCATCACAAAAATTTTAAAAAATTGTTTTTCATGGTGGTGGTCTGGCCTCTCAAAAACTTCTCTCTCTTATCCCCCAAGATTTAGAAAACTCTTACATATTTCAACCATAAGGAAATAGCTGATAATACAGATACTCTTCATATATATATATGGATGTACATAACTATGTACACACCCACTCACCCCCCACACACACAGTAGATGTGCCTAAACCTAGCAACACTTGTCAATGAGCAGCTTGAAGACATGTAATACTAGATCTTAAAGGGGTGCATTTCCTGCTGTATTTGTTTCATGTAACAAAGTATTGCAAAGTTGGTCACTTGAAACAACAGAAATTTATTCTCTCACAGTCCTGGGTGCCAAAAGCCCAACATCAGTATCACCGGGACAAAATCAAGACTCCAGTAATGCTATACCCACTCCCAAGGCTCTAGGAGGGGACTGCATCCTTGCTTCTTCCAATTTATGGTGGCTGCTGACATTTCTCGGCTTGTGTCTTCTTTGCTCCAATCTCTGACTCTCTCTTCACATTGTCTTTTCTGTGTGTGTATCCTCTTCTCTACTGTCTGTGTCAAATCTCCCTCGACCACTCTCTTTTAGGATACATGTGATTGCACTTAGGGTCTACCGTGATTATCAAGGATATTCTCTCTGTCTCAAAATATGTAACTCAATCACGTCTACAAATACTTTTTTCCTTTTAAGGTAACATTTATGGGTCCCAAGAATTAGGACTTGGCATCCTTTAGGGGTCGTTATTCAATTTACTCTACCTTCCAACCACCCTCCTCTCACTCTGAGTGCTTTCTATAGATTTCAGAAGATCACTTTTCTCCTATGCCTCTATATATATATCACTCTTATTAGAATTCTATTTAGATATGGCTACACATTAAGGACTACACAAGTAAAGCTCATTCACTAGGTATAGAAGGAGGGGTTAACCTGACAGATGAGGTTATTTCTGGTAATTCTTTTCTTTTCTGTTTTTTGAGACAAGTCTCACTCTGTCACCCAGGCTGGAGTGCAGGAGCACAATCTCGGCTCACTGCAGCTTCCGCCTCCCAGGTTCAAGCGATTATCCTGCCTCAGTCTCCCGAGTAGCACCACCACATCCAGCTAATTTTTGTACTTTTGGTAGAAACGAGGTTTCACCATGTTGGCCAGGCTGGTCTTGAACCCTTGACCTCAGGTGGTCTGCCCACCTCAGCCTCCCAAAGTGCTGGGATTACAGGCATGAGCCACCACGCCTGACCTATTTCTGGTAGTTCTTAAACAGAATAAAGAAGTAATCACACAAAAATTCCCAGAAATCAAAGGCCAGCACTCCATTAGCTGTGGGAAAGTATCATGCTCTCTTTGTCTTAATCATGGGCATGCCAAGGTGTATTATAGAGAAGAGTATATAAAATATATCCAGGAAGGTAATTTTAAGATGGTACTAAGAAAAAGCAGGCCAGGAGGTAAGTCATAAGAGCCCAGGGAAAGCTAGTAGAACCTCTGGGGGGCATCTGACTCAAAACGAATAATGAAATCAAACAAGTTCATAAGTTTAGTGGCGAGAGTGCCATCGCTGCTCTAGAAAGCTATGCACTTAATTTATTGCACTCTTTATATTTCTTCATGTCTCTTGGTTGTCCATGTGTGCCTTCATTCAATTCTGTCCACATATATTTATTGAATTCCCAGTGTATGCCAGGCACATTATACAATGGGGATGACACCCTGAAGAAAACAAGCCTAATCTCCATCCTTCCTTGAACTTAAAGTTTGGGGTGTAATCACTTGGCTTTTAGTTGCAGGAAATTACAACCAATCAGCTCTGTAATGAGAAACTCAGAGCCTATGATTTACCAGGAGTATGTCATGAGGATGAGAGTGGATCTGACATGTGCAAGAACTAAGATGAATATGAAACTAAAGGAAACAGAGACAGAGCCCCTTAATCATCTGTGTCTCCCCACTTGGAGAGTCGCCTTTCAGGACAAACTCATAGTGTTCCTAAATATTGCTGCAATCAACAAGTTAGAGTTGCATTAGAGCAGGGGTCTTCAAAGTCCTCAGAGGAGCTAAAGAGAAACACTGTGATCCCTCTCATGTGCCTCTTTCTAACAAAGCAGCTCTGTTTTCATCTGTTTTACATCTTGGGCTTCTAAACAAAGGGTTCTGCAACAAGAACAATGAAGATTGAAAACTCCTGCTTTAGAGTAGCAGCCCCCACAGTGACCAAGACACTTCTGCAATGCCACGTGTGGGAAACAATTCAAAATGCATGTACAGTGACTGGTGGGTCAGGTATCATCTTATATGAAGAATGGACTATTAAACCAATACTTAACCAGTGACAGTGACTGGTGTAGATGATGATAACTTGATTCTCTCTGGTGTTTCATTTCTTCTTCATGTGACAGGAAAGATAACCAGGAAGGGAATGAAGGAGGGAAAACTGTTGTTTCTCACAATGCTTGTCATCTATCAAGTGATAATTTCCCTGCTCATGTTCTGAAAGTCTCCTCTTTTGAAGAACCTTATGTCTTCATGAGTTTCTGAAGAGCTGTCCATGGGAACTGAAAACACAAGGGTGATAGAAAATTACATAAATCTGGGTTAAAAAAAGAAAAAAGAAATTGAGTTGAGATCTGAAAGTTTGATGAAAATCTCTTATCCATTGTGTATGTGTAATTTTTATTATCTTACACATTTTTAGAAAGATGAGTACAACTCGTATTTTTCACACTACGCTAACCTCTGGGTAGGATAAGGTAATAACAACATAACCAACAGTACGTTCTGGTTCTATTTCTGCCCAATCTAGTCTTCAGAAAACTCTCCCCAAATGGTTCTGAGTGTTCCTAGGTAGGATCATGTTCTTTGGCACCTAATAGCATCATTCATTTTTATTCTTGCTCACGGCCACAATTTCTTCAGTAACCTTTTATGTTGAAAGTGGCAGCTATGCCACTATGATTGTGAAGTCACTTATAATGAACTGGCAAAGGATGTCATCACTTTAACTAGCCTTGCTCAGATTTCAGTTGTGCCAGGACCTGAAGGGGCCTGCAGGCAGAAATGAAGACGGCTCAGAGGTATCTGGAAGTACTGAGCACCAGATGGAAAAATTGGTGTATTCTCGCACAAACAGACAACAGTTTGGGTATGTAGAGCCATGGCTTATGGGGAGGAGTGTCCACACTTGCCTAAATGTTTCAGAATGCAAATACAACTTTGAGAACAGGAGTGAAGGGTACATTGTCTCAATAAATGTTTCTGCCTCCATAAGAATAATGTTCATGTAGATAACAAAGTTTTATTTTCTGATCACCTGAGTTCATTGACTGCTAACATTTCCCCTGTACACAAAATTATGAAAACTATAAATTATACAAGATTATTAACTAAATATAAATATATCATTATCATGTAACAAATTATTATAGTGTGATACAGTAATGAAGTATTAACACATGCATAATTAATTTTTATAAAATACTAATAAGTTTTTACTTATAATTTAAGTTCTGAGATACATGTGCAGAATGTGCAAGTTTGTTACATAGGTATACAGGTGCCATGGTGGTTTGCTACACCCATCAACCCATCATCTACATTAGGTATTTCTCCTAATGTTATCCCTCTCCTAGCCCCCCACCCTCCAACAGGCGCTGGAGTGAGATGTTCCCTTCCCTGTGTCAATGTGTTCTCATGGTTCAACTCCCATTTATGAGTGAGAACTTACAGTGTTTGGTTTTCTGTTCCTGTGTTAGTTTGCTGAGAACGATGGTTTCCATCTTCATCCATGTCCCTGTAAAGGACATGAATTCATCCTTTTTTATGGCTGCATAGTATTCCATGGTGTATATGTGCCACATTTTCTTTATCCAGTCTATTATTGATGGACATTTGGGTTGGTTCCAAGTCTTTGCTATTGTGAACAGTGCTGCAATAAAAATACATGTGCATGTGTCTTTATAGTAGAATGATTTATAATCCTTTGGGTATATACCCAGTAATGGGATTGCTGGATCAAATGATATTTCTGGTTCTAAATCTTTAAGGAGTCGCCACACTGTCTTCCACAATGGCTGAACTAATTTACACTCCCACCAACAGTGTAAAAGCGTTTCTATTTCTCCACATCCTCTCCATCATCTGTTGTTTCCTGACTTTTAACATAAAATAATTTATCCTATAATTCTACTTTGTATTTTTCTACACTGTTTAATCTTTGTGTATAATTTATTTAATTAGCTAATAGTCTCCAAAGACTTCTATTAAAAAAAAACACATTTTCATTGCTTTATAAGAGATTTATTAAACCAATTGGGCTCCAATACTACACATTTATGGAGAAACGAGTATATGCCCTATTCCTATAAATCAAGAACAAAAGCTATAAATGAGGCAGTAGGGCAAGGGACCAAATTCTCAAGTCCAGGATCCCAATGAGAAAAGGCAAATTGAAATTTGCTCTTTCTCAAACATTCTATTTACTTAACATTCTCTAGCTAATTGCTTTAGGCACAACTAAAAACTAATTCTGCATTTGCTAAGGTCCATTAAAGAATTTGAAAATATAGCTCAAGGGAACTAAGGCAACTCTCCACAACCACCCCTGGCCAACACACCAACCACTGCACCTGAAATTTCAGCTGTGCTAGGGAGGCCAGGCAACAAAGTATTCTTTTAAAAGAACAATAGATCTTCTTGTAGATTCACTTGGGACATGAACAACAAAGCAACTACTGGAAAGTCTGGTAAATCTCCGCATGCATCTGGAATTGATAGGAAGAAATGACATAGGACCATTATTTGTCTTATATGAATTCAAAAAGTCATCTTGTTACGCACTTTTTTCCTAAGGATATTTGTACTTCAACATAGTATAGCTCTTTCTTGTAAACAGATGTACATGATGGATGAATAGAGTGAGCGCCTATGGTTTCAATGTTCTCACCCTCCAAAACTGAATTATACCAAGATGCTGCTAATTACACAATAGTTCTTCTAAATGAAAGCTCACAGCAACAAAACTCACAGTAGGGGATTTTAATGGGTAATATTATATTACTGAGTAATTGAATCTTTAGCTCTTAAAGAGGTCTTCAGCTTTTAAAGTTAAAGACAACAAAACCTGTGTTGGAAAGGTGCCGTATAATTAATTAGGAGAAAAAGTAGTACCAGAAAACAAAATAATTTCCTCTTTACCACATTTCCTCCTCCACAGAAGTTTTGTACATTTATTACCATAGAGTATTATCTTTTTCACCATCCCATCAAGACTAAGTTATATTTACTTTACATGAGAATGTTTTGTGTCACATTGAATGGAGTATCAATTGGATTCAAGATACTACAGCTCAGGTTTTTCTTACTCTGAATAATTACACTACTCCTAACGTTATTATCATTTATGATTATTAGTGACCATTTTTCAATCACCAAGCCATTGTAGCAGGACAACATTAAACAGTTTCTCAGCAATTCACGTTGTACTATATTATATTTCCTCCACAGATATAGAAATGGAACTAATATCTTGGCCAAGGTTGCATCCTACCAAGTGCTGAAGAGGTGTTCAAAATGAAGAATTTCTGAATCTACAAATCAAGTGATTTTTTTCACTAAATGATAGCTACTTCTTTGTGCGTGTGCATGTGTGTATGTGTGTGTTTTGTGTGTGTGTGTGTATGTGTATTTTATTTAACTAGAATGGTAGAAATGTTCAAAGACCTGTATCCCTTGGTAGGATCCAAATTTCATGGATGAAATAAATTGTTACCATTTATAAGTAATGCATGATGCTTTGGGCAAATAATATAAAACAAGCATTTCTTCCACATGAAATCTCCTTGGCAAAGAGTCATAGTGACTTCAGGTTGCTACCTGGCTGTTCAGGCCAACATGGGACAATTCTAAATCTAAACATGCTTCTCAACAGAAGCACTGTTGGCATATGAAGTTAAACAATTATTTGTAGTGCTGGACTATCCCAATCATTGCAAGACATTTGCATCCCTGGACACTACTTACAAAATAGTAATGGCCTCCACACAAATACAAAACCCTACCCTATGATAATACTGCCCTGAGCTATGAACCACTGAGCTCACCCAGTCTTATGACATTCCATAGTCAACAGCAAGCTGCTCTACTGCTGCAAGAAGCAGTCCTGGACTTTACGTGCAGTGTTACATCATTTTGGCCCCAGCCCAAGAATGTTAGGAGCAGATAACATGCTGCTGTAGACAGATTTGAACTAAGTCACTGCTACGGGGAAAAAACTGTATTAGATCAAGAGAGAAAGGTTAGGGAGTCCAATCAGAGTGTATGGATGTGAAAAGATGGTCAGTCTCCATACCGAGTTATAGTCATAAGTGACAAGGAAAGGAAAGAGAAAACACAGTAGGAGGTGCGCATCTCCAGTTTATGGGATGAAAGGGGCAGTAGTAAGGCCAGGTGTAATGGCTCGCACCTGTAATCCCAGCACTTTAGGAGGCTGAGGCAGGTGGATCACGGGGTCAGAAGTTCAAGACCAGCCTGGCCAACATGGTGAAACCTCATCTCTACTAAAAATACAAAAATTAGCCAAGCATGGTGGCATGCATCTGTAATCCCAGCTACTCAGGAGGCTGAGGCAGGAGAATCACTTGAACCTAGGAGGCAGAGGTTGCAGTGAGCCGAGACCACGCCACTGCACTCCAGCCTGGGCAACAAAGTGAGACTCCATCTCAAAAAAAATTAAATTAAATTTAAAAATGGAGCAGTAGTAAGGTCCACCCGCCCAGTGCAGGCTCTGTAGGCTGGCTGCCAATTTCCTGCGTGCTATGGGCTCATGATATGGCAATTTTCTGTCTGGAACTCAATAGTTCCTTCAGTCTTTACAATTACTCCTCACTCATCCAGTAACTACTCTTGGGCCCCACAGAAGACAGGCCAACTGTCGACTTTCATGTCTGTTATAACTTATTCTTGAAATATGTCACCATGAAGCCTAAAAAGCTTGATGCCCCATTCAACACATTTTGAGTTACATTTTTGAAAGAGGATGTTTGGGCAATGACACACAAATTACATGCACAAAGAAAATTAATTATTTGCAGACATGTAATATAATTATATGGGTTTATGCTATCCATGTGTGAACCTTAGTCTCCCCTAGTGCAAGCACTGCATATAATAAAAAAAGGTTTAACAGCTTTCAGAAAAATTTATTATGCTTACTTTTGCATAATTATGCAAATGATTATGTTTACTTTTGCACAAGAGTGCAAAATGTATTATGCCTACTTTTGCACAAGAGAAAACTCTTCATTATTTGATGGCATTCATTGGCTCATATGAGTAGAAGGAAATTTAAAGGGCCAACTGGTCCATTCCTTGGCAATCAAGAGGGACAACTTTCAAACAAACCTTGAAAGATGGTGCCAAGGATCTGCCACTGGTGCCACTTGAGGAAATATACCATTGTTTAATCTTTCACCCTCAGAAAAATTTTCTGTTACTGTGTCTAAATTTCTTGCAACAATTTAAATTATCCTCAATAATCTGGGGTAAAAAGATGCAGACTAGTGTCTGGTCACCTCCTCTATGTTAAAATGCTTCATGACTGAGAGTTGTTATTCAGTAATTTCTACCTCCTCTTTAGATCAAGTAATATCACTATGTTTAGAACCTTTTCTACAGAGGCTTTATTTTATCAAACAATAATTTTCAGTAAATGTCATACTCATTTCTAATGATAAAACATCTTTTTTATCATTAGATGAGAAGATCTTTCCAGAGGTCTTTTTATGCATTTTTAAAATTTGTATTGGCATCACACCAGCTTTTAATGATAGCTTCATGTGTCCTCCATATCCAAGTGCCTTGTTATTATAGCACAAAAGCATAAAAGCTGACTTGGCCCCTAGGTAGATTCTCCAGCTACAACTCCCTTGATGCAGACAGTACCTCTCATTTGGCTGCTTGTTCCCAACCCCCCACTGTTGCCTCCAGCAATACATCTCACAGCCTCCTACTGCATCACATCCCTATGACATGTTCTACAGTGGGCCCCTTGAAGTCCCTCTTAGAAGAGCTAGGGTTAAGAAGTTGCACCCCTCATTCCCATGGCTGGGGGTAGAAAGTAGACTCATAGCGCTCCAACAGTTCTCCTCAAACATCTGTCTCAAAAAACATCTCCTTTATTTCTACCCTAAATAAATTTATATTCTCAATATGTGAAGGACTCACATATTAAGTAATACAATCAAGTAATACATTTTCAGTTAACTACCACATGAAATTTTGCATATCGTCTAGTATTGCCTTTGAAATTCAACATATATTGTTTTGTCCCAGTAAAATCCAGCTTTTATTTTATTTCGTTTTGATATAAAGCAAGAAATATTTATAAAGATTTGAAATTCTGGTTTCACAGACACGGGAGAGAAGAAAAGACTGAAAACATAAAAACAGAAAAATGTTTTATTTCAATTATTTTTCTCATCTGCAAAATGGAGCTGAAAATACCTACTTATCCAGAGAGACTGTGAAAATTAAATGAAATTAAAAATATTAAGACATTAGCTGGACTAGTCCCAGAATAAGAGCTCAGATAATCTAGGATTCAAATATTAAGCTGGACAAACTAAAACAATTTTATAGAATCATGATGTAGAGCTCTTTTTTTGATTCAACTATGAATCTGTTAGTTTTTCAGTGTTCCAGTAATGTGGATTAGAGTAAACTGAAAGGATTTATTCTTCAGAAATATTAAACCCCTTTCTTTTCAAGAGGTCTGCAAACTGATTCCAGTATTAATCTTCCTCTTTTATTTTCTGTAATTTCTATGTTATTTATGTGTGTGTATGAATATACATGATACTTTGGCCCATATTTTTTCCCTTTTGGGGAACGTTTTGATTGCTTATTGGGTTTCATGATGACCAGTGTTCCAGGACAGAGTTGGTCCAGTTGTTTTATTAAACTAGAAATAAGTCATACAGATCTACAGACTTTTCTTTTCTATTAAGGCAGCATACAAGAATATCTAACAGATACTGAGTACTTAACTACAGGTAATGTACTATGCTAAGGAAGTTATTTATATGATCTCATTTAATACACACAATGTTATGAGACAGGTATTTTTACTATCCCCCTTTCACAGATGAGAAAAATGAGGCTTAGAGAGGTTAAGTTTTCAAAACAATTCTTCTTCCAAAGTTGCTACTATCTCAAAAGTCAACAAGTTTTCAGGAAGGGCAGGAGTCTTTGTATAGAGAGAAAGAAGAGAGAAGTGGCTGTGCCCTACTGTGGATGCATCTCTTTGCTCACACGTGGTGACCTCTCATGGAGGTCTTCACGTGAACATGGATCAGAAGCCAGCACTTCTGCCCACCCCAGAAACATATTTCACTCATAATGCATTAGAGGCAGATTTTATTAAAGAATTCATGGTATGATGTGGAAAAACATCTGGTAAAATTGCATAAAATCCTCCTCAAGCTTTTATTTCTCTAACAATCCCTTCCCCCAAACCAGGTGTTTCATCTCCCTTCTCCTTCCTCCCTTTACCTCCTAAGGAAGATAATCACCTGTTTGAATATCCCACTGAACAGATAAAAGTTAGGCAAAGAAAAGGCTCTTCAAGTAGTATCATCCCTACTTAAGCATACTCCTGAGTTGTAAGGGTTGGGAAGGTGGCCTACCCACCCATCCCCTGTGGCCTACCAAATTTATCCATTATGTACTTGAGGCTTATTAAGAGTAAGAGGTGACAAGATAGATTTTGATGCTAAGAAGAGATTTTTAAAAATTACTCTGATGGACTTATATCAGGATCAATTCTTTGGCAACGAAGGATGAAACTTAATACAATAGGGAACAGGATGGGCCTACCTTCTTAGGTATCTCAGAATGAAGGATATCAAGCTTTTCCATGAATTCTGTATATTGAGTGGTAAGTGTTTGAACCACCATGCAGAATTCTAAAATTTAGCCTTTTTGTATCAACTGTCAGTGGCATATTTAGATGTGAGTCACTACAGCAATAGGGCAGAGGCAAAGGAAAAGAAAAAAGTGTTAATAATCATCTGTGCCATATTTTTTTCAAGGATAAACACAACTGCTTCCTATTCAGCAGAAGAGAAAGAAACTAAAGGACATGAGAAAGGATGATTACGATATTCTGGAAATGTAAAATTTTCTTTCCCAAACTATCTCTTCTAAGACCATGTCTTCAAGTTCTGTTGGTCTCTGATTTAGATGGAAATTTTTCCTAAAACTCAGACATTTCAGAAAGGGCATGAAAATAACCACAGATTTCACTTAGAAAATTTAAACAATATATGTCATATTTTTCATGACTCAATAGATAATGCTAATAATAATGGCATAATAACCAGTTTCTTTTCAATTTCCATACAAAGATTCTTTCTCATAGGAAAATTCGTTGACTTGAAGTGTGAAGCATGAAATCCTCAATTAAAAAATGTCATAAGCATTTTTAAGCATGAAAAAGATCTTTTGACCAGGGAAAGACAACTCCAAACAATGGATTGTTTGTCTCTTTGTAAACTTAAACTTGATCTTCCTTGTAGAAGAAGGAATGTTTTCATCATTCCTGCTATTGGCTTGCAAGTTTGGGTCCATGTGG